TTAGGTGAACTATTGCTGAAGTTATTTCTTGGCTAGACCTTTAATTATTGTTACTCTAATTTTAGAGAATTGTCATTTAATTTCTAGCTAGCTATTTATTTTTATTTTTATTTGAATTTCTTTGATTGTCATCATTTATTCAAAAACACCTCCTGTATTACTTTGAATTTCTAAAGAGACAAATATTCCCAATCCTTGAGGATACGACCCTACTTGCCCTATCTACAAATTCATAATTATTTGTGCAAAAAAAAGTCATTCCATTCGGGTATATTGGATCAAGCAAACTCTTCGAGAACAGGTGAATCAAAATAACTCATTGCACACCTAGAGTCCCTGCTCCAGTACTTGGAATCGGGTTTTGATTATTTTAATTGACAATTAGGTTTAATTTATTATTGCACAGACATCGACAACCTGTTGGCAGAGATAGACATTAAACGAAGATGTCCTATAGTCAAGTGATGTATGATACTTAGCCATAAAAGTGGATTTTGATTGTTATAAGTATAGGTGGCAAACAAACTCATTTAATTAAATTTACCCATATTCGTCCATGAATAGAAAGATATTGGTATTTTAAGTTTTTGTACATAGGTACAAATGAGTTACCCAATAATACCCATTTAATAAATGGTATTAATGGATAACACATCAAATCCAATTAATCCATTTAGAATTGTCTCCCTCCAAACCTCTTCTCTTCCCCCACCCATTTTTTTTTCAAATTTTTTATTTTGTTATGATGTTAATTACTTTTGTTTCATTATTATTATTATTTATGGGTTTTATCTTATCATTTTATTTTCTCTTAATTTGTTAACTTACTCATTTTTTTAGCATTCTCAATTTATGACAAGTTTTAGCATCTTTTTCTACCTTTTCAAAATGAAATTTAAATTTACACAAAAAAATATTAGGAATTCAAAATTTTTTAATCAAGTTTTTATGTTAATTTTTATAGTACTTATGTCAAATTTTTATATTCTTATTGTTCAATTATTAAATAGTATATAATTTTGCGACATAGAGTACGGATGAAAAAAAATGGTAACTAGGTTAATTGAATATTATAAATAAATATTTAAAACTAATGATGGGTGCAAATGGTGGTACAAATTGATAACATAGTTTACAAAAATAAATTTAAATGAGTTTATGAAAAGTTAAAATAAATAAGTTATAAATGGATAATTGAGTTACCCAATTCATTTTTTGACTTACCCATTTATACCCATCTAATTAAATGGGTATAAATGAATTGATTCACTTATACCCATTACCTATTTTAACCAACCCATACCCTCCCAAGTCATCCATTTTCACACCTCTAGTTATAAGAAATTAGGAAAGATTGTTGCTTGGAAGTATTTTGATCAGTTGTATTTTTTTCCCCTTCTAGTTAACTGTCTCATGTTCCTTTGCTTTATTTACTTCAAATAATGCTAATCGATACATTGTCAATTGGGGAAGGATGTTTTCCTTTAATTATTCATTGTATTTTCTCTTTCAGAAAAGGAAAGTGAGAGTTGAATATGAGGTGGAAATACAGTGGAGATTAAACTTGTATTTTCTCCTGGGGAAAAGGAAAGCTTTTAGGGGCTGTTGGAAATTGAGAAGGACGAGTTAAATATGATGTGAATAGTCACTTCATTTTTGATCATTTTAGAGGTTTCTGCAATTTCTTTGTGCAAGATTGTAGCATGCTATATAAACAAGACGCTGGACAATAAACCCAGCCAACTGATACAAGTTGATAGTACTAGCTGAAATGCCTAGGCTCATCTTCCTGTTGTTTTAGGAAATAGAGGGAGAAGAAAATAGTCATTGTGGTAATTCTGAACTGATGCTTGAAGTGTGTTTTGTGTACGCTTCTCGTGATAGATGTTGGATAGTGTAGGATTATAACTCGATGCAGCTGAAATTCATTTGAGATACTGCACAGCATAGCTCTTACAGGCTCAAACATGTATCATATACAAACAAAGGAATTCTATTATTTAGTCTTTCTTGCACCTCGTATTGTCTACAGTTTTGGCTTATTGTTTAGTAGTTATCTGCTTAAATTCACCCTTTTGATGATTTAAGATGCTTGTCACTCTTCTCATGACTACGACGTTATCCAGTGTGACACCAAATGATGATTTACCATGTGTTCCTTGACCTTAGACTTGTACCATAGCTTGATTGATATATAGGAACCTTTGAATTTAGATCCATCTTTTCAAAGATTTATTTTCTGATTTTAGTTAGCTATTTGACTAATTGAACATTCATGAACACTTAAAAGACCAAGTCAAAATGTTGATTACTAAAGAACATGCAGTGAATCAGCTGAATTAGATTGAACTCTAATTTTCTATGGTTGCTTCTTAGTAAGAATTGTTCGGATAAGTTATTTATTAGATCATGCAAAACAGCATTAAGATTCTTATGTGTGATGCTATAGCTGAAATGTTTTCTGGACCAAGGAGTATCAAGTAATTAGTTTCATTGAGTCATTTAGAGAAGCTTTTGTGTGCAATAAAAGCAATGTATACTAGGCAGTTGCACTATCTGGACTGACCAATCATTTCTGAACATCGTGCCATAGATCTCCTAACATTTTCCCCCTCATCAAGATCTGCATGCTTCCCTTCTCTCCCCTACCTTGTTCCTTTCTTCTCATGCTTCCTTTTTCCTTTTTTTTTTCTGTAAGTTGCGTCCTTCATTGAAAGGGAGTAAGGTTTGTTCTTCCTCCACCAACCTTAGCTCCCCTCGCTGCTTTCTTCTCCCTAATTTTGAAGTATTCCGCACACCAAGTGGCATGCATTTCTGATCTTGAAATGTCCAAAATCTCCTTCCACTTGGGTCCTAAAGAAAAATCACCGTTTATTCTCTCAGCCCAAAACTTTTAAGAACTCCACGGTCTGAGGATTTGTTTTAACTTTGTCTTAGCTCTTTATTTTGATGTTATCTGATCCACAATAGGCCTAAATGCTTATGATATCATGCTAATTATTATTTTCAAAATCTGCCATCGAAGTTTCTATTGAGTGATCATAGGTACTTGCCGGATTAAAGTAAGCTTTGAAAATTGTGTCTAGAACTGTATTTGGTACCCTATTCGAGTGGGGTTGGTAAGTGTCATAATTGAGTGAGCATTTGAAATTAAACCTGCGTGTTATTTGGCTTGTGTTCTGCAAATCGTGTCTTTTATAGTCATTATTCTTCTCTGCTTCTAGAAATGGATGCTTCTAGTCTTTTACTTTCCTGCTTTATGTAATAATAATAGATATGTCTGCTTTACCTTCCTCGTGGTCTTCATGGATGTCTAACTGAAATTCATAAATGTTGCATTACAGAAGCGTTACGAAGATGTTCCAGTTTTGGGTCAGAGGCAGAGTGAATGAATCAGCTTTTGTACTTGATAGTTTTGGTCGTCCATCATCATTTCAGGTCAAAATCAGACTTCTTGCAATGATCCATTAATAATTGGTTCCTTAATTGGACTATGCAGATTGGAGACTTGAGGTTTCTTTGAACTGTTAGAATACCTTTTATCTGTCAAGATATATTTTTCCCTTGTGTGGATGCTTTTGAACATTGATTTTCACGAGAAGTAGAAGTTTATTTGATTAGGTGTTACTGAAGCCACTCTTTGGAGGCTAAGTCAACGGTAAAACGAATATGGTTCTTACAAAGATGATGTTGTGGAATATTGCGCTTATGTTCAGTCCACTGAACAGAATTCTGCAGAGAATTGACGAATTTCACAAACTGTAATGCATGTAAAGTTCACTTACATAACCGTTTTTTGTTTTTTTTTCTTTCTGTTGTAAATGTTTTCCTTCAAATAACCAAAAAAAAAAAAAGAAAAGAAAAGAAAATGACTTATTTAAAATATTGAAGGGTTATTTGCACTACCTCCTTTGAAGTTTGATCAAAGTACAGATCAAGAGTTGAGGACCTTGAGGTCTAACCATTTTACAGTCGCCATCCCTTCTTTCTTTCATACACAGAAAGAGTCCACCCAATACTTGATGAGAGTGTTCTCCGTCACCTTCTCTCTCTCGAGGTTTTTGTCGATTGGGCGTTTCTCATCTTCCCATATGAGCCTTGCATTCCTCCTTCCCATATGAGTAGGCAAAAACTTGAGCCCATGCACCCATATGTGCCCCATTCCCCTTAGCACCAGCAAGATTTGAACGATGTTGTTGGGCTCATCATAAATAGAGAGATCTTGATACGCTTAAACACGTTCAGCCAAAACTTGGAAGATCCGGCTGTCAAAAATTCAGTAGTCCAGATTAAGTCTCACCACAATTTGATCTATTGAATATCTAAAGATCGAATCTACTCAAGTGTAAACCTTTGATGACCAGATCATCCGTGATCACAAATATGTAATTTAGGGCTATCTTAAAAAAAAAGCTTTTAAGATACTTTTGAGTTAGTTTTGCTTAAAAAGTGATTAGATCAGTCCTAGACACGAAGGATTTCTACTTTTGATATTCTTTAGGTTTTAAAAGTGTTTTCAAGAAAACTGCTTTCAATTATGAATAAGAAATTCCCTTTCCTACTCATCATCTTTTAAAAGCTTTAGCACATTCCCTCCATTCATGTTTAATGGGGTAACAATTTTTTTTTTTGAATATTTGAATTCCTTGCCAAACCTGTACCTTCCTGTGAATTCAACGTAGTTCCCATTTTAACTACTACAGTTTATTCACTTCTCCACTAATCATATCTCCATAAGAAGGCAATCCATTGGAGACTTGGAGTAGAAGCGTCTCATGACCCAAAACAAATAATATATATATATATATATATATATATATATATATATATATATATATATATTTAAGAGTGGAACATTTGATGCTCAGAAGTGATCAAAGATGTTCATATCCATATGCCAACTGATTAGAGAGGCTGATGCGATATCCATCTCTCAAGCATAGTTCTGCATTCGGCAGGCTTGAACTCATAAGCAACATGGCCTCCTCCCTTCACCCAAAAAAAAGAAAAAAGGGGTGCTAGTTAGTCCCAAGAATGTTCTAACCTTGTTGTTAGTCGTTACCATGTGAACAAATCTTGCACTGAAGCAATAGAAACAGGAATTTCTTGCCTTCACTGTTGCAAATGTCATCTTATTTGCGTAGTCCTTGTGTAACTGGAAGCAGGAAAACAGAACAAATTTAGATGAGTGGGTAAAGTCATCTTTTTATCTCGTGCTAATGGTGGTGTAATCAAGAAAAGAAACATTGTTCAATTTTGAACCAAACCCGGCAACTTGGCCTTCATGAATCCACTGTCTCCAATCGTCAATAATTGGGTAATGTAGAGATCTTATCCACGCTTGAGTTTCAATGTGCGGGCCACAGATCATGGTCACCACTGAATCACAAAGTACTCCACTTTCAGTACTTAAAATCACTGCTGTTAACCTACATGCATCAAGATTCAGAGTAGGTACCAAACCTGTATATAAGGGATCTATAACCTTTAGTGCTAAGGTTTGCATGATATGGTACAACACTCCCTGCATTTTCTGTGTATGGCAAGGTATCGCTGCAGCTTACCCACTGTCCGATAGTTTCCTGCAATGTGATTACAGAAATCAGTTCAGGCTTGCTTCGGCATTCTTCAAATGCTACATACCATAGTGCTCGATTTAGACATACCCTTCGCACATGGAGGGCCTCTTGGACGCTCTTGTTGTTAGCCCAGTGATCAACAGCGTAATCCATTCCATCTACGATTGCCAGTGAACAGAAGAAACGGCGATCAGTTGTGCTACCAAGAACTGATGCTCTTATCCACGAGTTTACATAGAACGATACTAGTAGTATCTTACTCGACATTTGACTGGAGTAGATTCCCGAACGTCTAGCTCTTCAAACTTCTTATACAACATTTGTATAATGGATCTCCCACCAGTAAATAATTTATTTGGCTCTCGTGAAAGGGAGGACATACGGGAATCAAGATCTGTTATCGTCAATATTACGAACCAACTGCAGAAGCAAATTATTAACACCATCATTCTGGTTGCCCGTTCCTTTATTCTGATTCTTCCCACCTTTTGTAGCCCAAATTAAAGGGAAGGGGTAGGAACCAATTGTCAGTACAACCGTTTCTGGAAAGTGTGTTATTGTTTGAATAAATTAGAGTAATTCATTGTTAACTTCTACAATTTCGCAACAGAAGTATGATGTTCGATCAGTGCTTGTGTAAGCCCCTAACATTAACTGCAACTCTGTTACGAAATTGTATGAGTAAGTTACAATGAATTACTGCTTGTTCAAATGATATTACACTATTCAGAAACGGTTACACTGACAATCCTTAACTCTGTCCCTCTTTCTTGAGTTTAGGGGACGCTTTAAGTAAATCCATTAGGCCTTGCCTAATTTTTGAAAATAGAGTCACATAAAAATTGCATAGATATGGTTGCTTGCCTCATTGTATGCCTGCATATTTTTCGAACACGCTGCATTACTGGGATCTATGATTTCATATCCCCTTTACAGCTAACCTTCAAGGACTGCATTGTAAATATACAGCTCAATTAGAAAATCACGGATAATTTTACATTGTAAGAATGCATGTGACAAATGACAGTGTTCTGAGATATCAATAGGTAACAAACAAAGAAATAAGTTACCTCATAGAGTTCCTCAGAAATCAGCCCATCCCATAAGCAACGCAACCCTATAGTTCAAATTCCCGAACCTTCGTTATTGGATTTCCAAGTATGTATCCCTGAAGCCATAAATGGAGCCGTCTCAGTTTTAAACTCAGGAAGGTAAATTTTCTCCAAATGTATGTAGTCAATCAAGATTAGGTAGACTAGAAAAGAGAAGATCATCAAAGGTATAGACCTTAAGATCAATACGTGGTTCAATGCCGTCCTTATTTCCTGAATAACACCAAAATACATGTAAGTTTTAGGGCCTTAATAGTCATAGAGCAACAAAGTATTGATCCTATACTCTCTGTATCTAGCAAACTTCAACTGATCATCTTGTAGCAGGAGATAATGTAGAAATCTGAACTGGTCAAAGAAACGTTTTCTTGCTTTGTTCTGGAGGTTAATCTTATAACTTAACATATGGACAGAAAAGAATAAAAAGCCTGCAAATTTCTGAGGGAACTTTTAACCCTTTTCCCCCCCTTAAAGCTCTGCATTATGTTAATAAAACCCATTTAGCTTAAGGTGGCAACTATATTCCTACCTAAAGAGACTTCGCATATACTACAAGCTTACAGAAAGCTTTTATAGCATATTCAGATCTCTTACAATGCCTATGTATCTCTTATAACCATTTCAATAATCAGATTCTAACACAATCGAAAAACTTCGCTAGGGTAAAGAGCCACATTGAAAAAATCTTACCATTTGATATAAGTTGTTAATATTGGAACAGGAATGCCCCATACGAGATTCCACTAACATAGAATGGATTCGACTTGTACTCTGGGTGATCATGTAGCCACTGCAATATAATCAACTATCAAAACCAATCTTGTAAAAGGTAAACATCTTTTTAACTATAATTTCTTTCCCATTTCAAAGGAAATTAAGCTTTTAACTCGAGGTTCAAAACGAGTAAAAACGTAATAAATATCGCCCACCCAAGCCTCTATAATTGGCAGTCGCAATTGCACTGTGTACTATAGGCGCTCGCAAACCAATTGTAGACATTAAAATACAACAACATGCAAAAGACAATAAATTGCCTCGCTTATTGAAATTTGTACCCAAAATTGAATTGTAAGCATCAAATTCAAAATTAGTCATCTTCCACTATTTTTTCAAGGTAAAACTGTAAGTTCATTGATATGGGACAAGTTTGTACAAGAGATGGAATATCTCAGTGTACATGTTAAACAAATTATCATAGGAGCCCGTATCAGAACATTTCACTAACTAAACACTGTGAGTGGGATATTCCATTCTAGAGATTGCCACCTTTCATGAGACTTTGGGGTCTTTCCCCATGCAACAGACCTCCTCCTCTACTATGGCTTCCATGACCTAACTGTCGAAACTACTATATCCAATTATTATTGATGTAACTTTTATTCATCTTCCACTGTCAACTGTTCTATACAATCAAAACTGTGTTCATAGAGAACTTGAATCCAATGGAGGCAATTTTGGGCAGAGCCATGCAGGATTCCACTATTCTGAAGGAAAATAATTAAATGATAGTACACTTGTCTTTTTGCATAATAAAGGGTCTAGAGACAAATATGGCATTTTCCTAATTAGTAATTGTCCAACGTTCCATGAAGCCTTACGATTCATTAATTAGCTGAGTGATGGGCCTGTACCTTCCTGATAAATTCATAAGCTTGATCAGAGGCTTGAAAATCTGAAGATTGAGAAGCTTTTGCAGTCTTAGCATAAGAAAAACCCGTTTCCAACTGGCGAATCCAGAAAGATGATGCTTACAACCTAACAAGTAACAAGAAGAAATGATTCTCAATCTTGCAGTCTACTCGAATTCTTAATCTTGAAAATTAGGTTTGTTTGGATAAAGATTATTTGAACATTATTTAAAAAAAAAAAAAAAAGAAAAAATTTGGAACCTTATTTATATATGTATCTCAATAACCTTTTCATGTAACAGTTCTATGAGTCTAAGATATACTCATCAACTTAAATCTCTTTTTCTCTCGCAAGAAAATAAAAAAAGAAAAGAGAAACTCAATTCTTGAGTTTACCTTGGTCCAAGTAGAGGGATTTAATACCAATTTGGGCAGAGTGCCGTCGAACGACAATGGCTCCAAAATTACTGGTCCTGCAACAGAAAATCACGGCCAGTGACTTGATCAAATGCTGGCACTCCAGTCTATCAGTCATCATCACTTGAACTTTAAAGACAAATAAAGATTATGGCTCCATTTGAATTAGCTGTTTTTAGGAACATTTTTCAAAAGCTTTATTGTATATTTTGGGCTTTTTAATTTGATGTGAACGTGTAGTTAGTTATTGTACAGATGTTTGTAGCAGTTGCTACTGGCGACAAATGGATGCTATTCAATAAAATTAATACTTTTACCCAAAAAAACAAAACAAAACAAAAGACCTTACATAAAGCTTCGTCAACCAGACAACGCCTTTTGTCTTTTTTGCAGAGTTTCAACCAGAAAGGCTGTTTGCAGAGTTTCAAGATTATACAAAATCAAGATCAAAATAGTGCAGCAATTGTTCTTTTTTTTTTTTGTGACACCTACTGCAAAGTGTAAGGCATTAGGATTCACCTATCCCAAAGAAAAGTGGAATAAATGAACTGCAGCCAGGGCCTCCATCTAACCAAATGATAAGAGGATCCGATTGAGGATTTGACTCTGACTTGATAAAAGCGTAGAAGAGCTGCCCATCCTCTGATTCACCAACTCCAATATACCTGATAATATCAAAAAATGGATCAACTATTTCTTCTAAGTTTGGATCAATGTTAATTTCTAGTGTTATTATATATATATATATATATATGTTATACTTAGTGGCTCACCCGGTTTCGAGTTCAAAGGGGAGGGGTCCTTCAAATCCTGGAAGAAACTTAACTATGGAACCAGCCATAGCAAGGTTTGAACATGCTTGAACATAAACTAGCAGCAAGAACAGGTTGCAGAAGATAGGATGCCTTAGGAGCACCTGCAACTTCTCCATAGAGCTTGGCCTATCTCTCGTTTTGGGCACCAGGCAGAGCAACTTTAGACTCCAGGCACTTGGATAGAGTTCTTCGGCGAACTCTATATACGAGCATCTCCGGTGGAGTGTCACGGCCCGTGCAATGAGTCATTACACGCATCATTATTCTAATGATGCGTGTAATGACTGTAATCATTAGAATAATGATGCGTGTAATGTTGAAAAATGGTGGGCTCGACTGGAGCAACGGAGTTCAATTAATTAAATAAAAAATTATTAATTAAGTATGGATTATTAGCTTATTTTCACATGGGTTTTTAGTCTAATTTTTAAGAGACAATTTTTTTTTACTATTTTGTTTAGAGTAATCCTCTATAAACATCTCAAAATATTTAATGTACACGTCCCTTAATACCTAAAAACAAACAAAATTTTCACCTTTTTCCATCATTTTCTGCCTTCTCCCCCACCTCAACCTGCCACCAGCTTGTCGACATCACCAGCCTGCAACCTCCTCTTCCGCCCCTCCTCCCTCTCCTCTCCTTCCCCCCACGTCCCTCCATAGTACATCAGAATTCCACATAGCGCTCATCAGAAATCAGGCCCATCCTATAAGCAAACGGGACTAGATAGTTAAGAATTTCTTGAACTTTAGTCGCTGGATGTCCAAGTATGTATCCCTGAAGCCATAAAGGGAAATGTCTCAGTTTTAACCTCGGGATGGTAAATTTTTCTCCAAATAGTATGTAATCAATCTAGCTTATGTAGACTAGAAAAGAGAAGATCATCAAAGGTATAGACCTTAAAGATCAATACGTGGTTCAATGCTGACCTCTTTTCTTGGAATAACACCAAAATACAAGTAAGTTTTAGGGCCTTAATAATTAATCTTATGCTCATAGAGCAACAAATTGTTGATCCTATACACTTTGTATTTAGCAAACTTCAACTAATCATCTTGTGGCAGGAGATAATATAGATTTCTGAGCTATTGAGTCCAACACGAAAGAGTACTAATGCAATTAATGAAGGTATAAGGGATCCCATAAACTCGCATCCTAAGTATCTCCTAAATGGAAGTTTTCAAAGAAACGTTTTCTGTCTTCACCCCGACTTTTAGGATATTACAGTTTCTATATTTTATTTTTGTTTTAAGACATTGTTTTGTTTTAAAGATTAGAAACCCTAAATTCTAATCAAAAGGAAAAAAAACCCTAGTTTACTTGTGACTACCCGGTTTTCCTAAATCTCTTATATTTTAATCGAAACCATAATTGTAACCAATGGAATTGTAAAATCCCTCATATTTTTCTTAAAATTCCTTTTATTTAGCATTTATTCCTTTCTAATAGCTTTACTACTCATTTACACCCTCAGTAATTACAATCCACCATAGAATCAAGGATTTTCCCTTTAGGTTCTTCGTTCGGGTAAATTAAGGTTTTTTGCGTATTTTGACCGTGTGCTCACTCGGTGAGATGTGTGCACTAAATTTGGTGATTAAGAATGAGTTTTAAATGATATTAAGTGTGTGATTAGAAGTGATAATAATAAATTAGTGAATTATAAGTTAAAACCCTAGTATACGCGATTTAAGGAAAATCAGCTTGAACCGACGGGTACCGTTTGTTACCGGGTAAACACACCACTTGACCCATACTTTATTACCTTAATCTTCTCATTTTATTTCAGCTAATTAACCCTCAAAATATCTCATACATCAGCCACAATATTTGACCAAGAAAACAAGAGAAAAGAAAAAAAAATTGAGATGGATTTTGGTTGTGACAAGTGGAGGCTATCCAAGCACCTTTGACCCAAACCAAGACTAAGTCTTATAACCTTTCTTAGCCTCCAATCTTCTCCATTTTTCCAGCTGAAAACCGTGAGCTTGAGGGAGAGAGAGAGCAAGAGAAAGAACTCCATGTCATCTTGAGTTTGATCCATTTGAGTGAGAAAGCAAAATTCTAAACCGATTAAATCCTTCTTTGAGCACTTGGAAAGCTTGGTGTGCAAAAGGATTACAAGAAGAGGTGGTAGATAACTCTTATAAGCATCTTTGAGAGGTATATGGGCTAACCATCACATTTATTTTCCATAGTCTTGTCTAAGTTGAGTAGTAACTTGTAATCTTGCTTGTGATACTTAATTCATGTGATTTTGGATGATTGTAGTGATGAATTTTGAGTTAGGGTTTGAATGGTTCACTTGAAATTCCTATTGTTTGAATGGTATATGGTATATGTAAGTTTGTATAAGAGGTTGTGATAGTGATTGAAGCAAGAAATGAAGAGATTTCCCTTTGAAACCTCAAATTCCAGATTTCAGTTTTTCACCTCCCCTGTTCTGACCAGTTTTGTTTGACTAGGTTAGAGGCCGAATTAGGTTTAGCACGAAACATAAAAGTTGTATAGAATGATGTTTTATAGTTTTTTACAAAATTTCAGCTCAATCCGAGCACTGTAGCATGTGAAAAGATAAAAATACCCCTGATTGCCATAGGTAGAACATTATGGACAGTTTTGACATTTCACCAATCTGATTGTGTCTTTTCACCCTGATCCGTACCGAACTAGCATTTGGTCAAAACACAGAAGTTGTAGTGATATTTCTTAGCTTTCTAATACCCCTAAAAACACCTCAATTGGACTTCGGTAGCCTGAGTTATTGTCATTTACGCATAGTACGGTTAACTAGCCCAAACGTGAGATTCTGGCTCTGTAATTTAAAAGTTTCACCTAGATACAC